TGACCAGGACAGACTCCGCAGTAATCTAAACAGTAGAACTTAGTGAAGGTATTCCAGACATAGCCCTCACATCCAAGCTTCGCACAGTTCCCAAATTTGTCAACACAATCACCATCTTTGAAATAAACATTCAGTAACACGAAATTAGAAAGATCATATCTTTAATTGAGAAATAATATGAAATAAAAGCACATTCTTTTTCTAAATTTTTGTTAACACGAACTCATTCAAAAGTAAATGATCACAAGTATATTTTTCTTTATAATTTGGGTTTTGGAACTTTTACACATTGGCATATTCCAAGATCTATGGCCCTTTTTGACACGTTTTGCATTATTTGGATGAAACATGAAGCAAATATACCTGAATTAATATTAAAAACCAATTAGTAAATAGGAAAATTCTCTATCTTCTACCCAAGCTATAGGTATCTTAAACTTCGACAAAATTCATTCATTGTGTCCCAGATTAAGTTTTAAAGAACTCAGCAATAAGATTTTTTCAATTTTATTTGCATTTTTTAAAAATAATAAGAAATAGTTACTTACCGACAGTGGAGACATATGCAGTCAATAATACTAGAAATATGTACATGATCTCTGAAAAACAAAAGTTACAATCAGTATTCTCCCTCTTTAACGTTTAATCGTTGATATCCTTTAAGGTTAAAAGTAAGCTCTATATGGGCACGGTCATTATCAAGATTTCTGTAGAACAAATTTCTACGTTATCTGTACAGATAATTTAGGTGTATTCACAGGCATTAAACCTGCGTATAACAATAAAATATACATAAACATATATTTAAAAAGAATTAAACTTCAACAAAAATGCTACTTTACAGAAACAATATCTAATGCTTAGTATTTTTCTTATAAAAGTTTTTTAACTTAATGTGTATGTGAGGATGTGGGTCATACACACTGATGAACTTACTTAAATCAAAATAACAAATATAAAATTTAAACAATATTTAAAAACAAAATTAAAAAAACAAATAAACAGAAATGTTCAACAAAGAAAATTAACCCCATCAAATGTACAAAATGAAATAAATCGAAAAAATGTCTTTGTTAGTTTGCGCTGGTCCATGTCAGTAAGTGTTAGTTCCTTTGGAATAGATTTGTCCACTTTGCCCTGTTCCTTCACTAAGTGCGGAAATCCTTTTTTAAAAGAATAGATTTGTCGAATTTCTTTTATCATGGCAGCACGGAACAATGTTTATTGTAAAAAGGCTGCATGGCACACTGGTATATTTTCTCTCAGGTTCTGGATTCAATGGTCCGACGTCTGGCTCAACACTTTGAAAATCCTTTCAATGAAACTAAATATGCATAATTAACATCCAAAATCACAATACAGATTATTATCAAACTTTTTCAATGTTTTGTTTATATATTGACTTTAAATTAGATAATAAATTGTTCCACGTGGGTCACCGCCAGGTAATATAACTCACAAAACGGGTTTTAGAGATGTGTCGTACGGGCCGCCATAGTTCACTCAAACGCTACGATTTCTGTCAAACACTATATCTACGAACTTACAAAATATGGTAATGTAACATTTCTCTCTCCAAGACGGCGAATTAAATCAGTGAAAAAATCCTCTAAATTGAAGTAATAAAAACGTTTTCCAGGATTTCAAAAGCTTCATGAAATCCAAATCAAAATATTTTATCAAACATAAGGTTTTTTAAAGCAAACAAGAGGCCCACGGGCCTTATAGGTCACCTGAGTATTGTGTAACAACTTTCAAACAATTAAATTTGGTTCGTGTTTTAAACTAGAGGTTTACAATTTACAATTCTGAAAGAGGCACCATGGCTAATCATAATTATTAACTTAGCATGCTTACTCCATTTACTTAATACCCAGAGGTAGATCAGAGCAACAAAGAGAAAATGCACTTCCACTTTTTACCCAGTTGTGCACCTCACCCTAAAGGAACCACTGACCCATGGGCCACATATTTCAAAATTTTGCAAATGTTATCATAAAATGGTTGATTAATACCAAAGAGCAGATTTCAAAGCATTAATTTATTTTCAGACTATGTAAACCCCCCCCCCTCCCTCTGACCCTGGGGGCATAAAAAAACACTTTGATAGATGCACCTTTCTTCATCATAGATATATATATATTTGGATCATTAGCATAAAACCCAGAAGCAAAGGAAAATATTTTCAAAGAATTTATTTTTACTATATAATCAATAGAGCCCCGCCCTAACACCAGAACCCCCTAACCCTGGGTCATAAAATTCACAATTTTGGAAAAGGCACTCTTGCTCATCAAAACTATGTGTTTAGTTAGTTTATTTAATACCAAGAAGCAGAAAAGAAGATTTTCAATGAATAATGAATTTTCACTATATAATCAATTGACCCCGCCCTAACACCAGAACCCCTGATCCTGGGGCCATAAAATTCACAAATCTGGAAGAGGCACTCTTGCTCATCATAACTATGTGCTTAGTTAGTTTATTTAATACTTAAGAGCAGAGAAGAAGATTTTCAAAGAAATAATGCATTTTCACTATATAATCTATAGAGCCCCGCCCTAACACCAGAACCCCTGACCCTGGGGCCATAAAATTCTCAAATCTGGAAGAGGCACTCTTGCTCATCATAATTATGTGCTTAGTTAGTTTATTTAATACTTAGGAGCAATGAAGAAGATTTTCAAAGAAATAAATGCATTTTTACTATAAAATCTATAGAGCCCCGCCCTAACACCAGAACCCCTGGCCCTGGGGCCATAAAATTCACAAATCTGGAAGAGGCACTCTTGCTCATCATAATTATGTGCTTAGTTATTTTATTTAGTACTTAGGAGCAGATAAGAAGATTTTCAAAGAAATAAATGCATTTTCACTATATAATCTATAGAGCCCCGCCCTAACACCAGAACCCCTGACCCTGGGGCCATAAAATTCACAAATCTGGAAGAGGCACTCTTGCTCATCATAATTATGTGCTAAGTTAGTTTATTTAATACCCATGAGCAGAGAAGAAGATTTTCAAAGAAATAATGCATTTTCACTATATAATCTATAGAGCCCCGCCCTAGCACTAGAACCCCTGACCCTGGGGCCATGAATTTCACAATTTTGGAAGAGTACTCAATGCTTATTACATTCATGCCAACAGCTTGCCTGCTTGATGTCCAGGAGTAAAGAAGAAGATTTTTAAAGATTGCAATAATTTTAGTGGTTTTGGCCCCACCCCTCAGGCCCCAGGGAGGCGGGGACCATAAAATTCACAATGTTTGTTCCCCTTCACTCATAGATGCTGTATACCAAATTTGGTTGAAATTGGTTCAGTGGTTACAGAGAAGAAGATGAAAATGTTCAAATGTTAACACACGACACACGACGCACGACGCACGACGCACGACGACGGACGAAAACAGATAGCAATAGGTCACCTGAGTTTACTCAGGTGACCTAAAAATACAAGCTTTGCAGAATTTTTCACTGATATTCTTTTCATCGCATGTTGACATGGCATGTTGAAGCTTCCAACGATTATTCAATTTCATTTTAATGTGATATTGATTTTGTAAGAGTTTAAATACGTTTATATATATGGGGCAGTTTTTGATTTATTTAACTGAATACAATAGAAGCAATGAGTTTGTTCTTTTTCTTGATATGCGGGATTTTCTTATCCTTGTCCAGTGCTAATGTTCCCAAGACTCACATTTTTATACAAGGTAAGTCAGACTGGTATTAATTTAAAAGTTGATTAAACATATAGTATTTAATATGTATGCAACGTGATCACAAAAATGTTATGCAAAACTATCATTTATACCTTGCTTAGAAAAACATTTCATTTAAAAGAAACAACGAAAGAAAAAAAAATCACTTTCGAAAATGTCATTGAATAAAGTATTGTGTACGCATTCGCCTCAAAGGAACACATCAGAGTCTTATCAAAAAAATTATACAAAATAGTCTAAATTTCTGATTAGAAATATACACTTCATGAAAAAATCCTATAAATTTATTTAACTGAACAAAAAGTTTATCAGTCATAAAAGCCTTCAAAATATTTTTACTGTAGGACATATGAAAGAATCTTTGAAAAAACTACCTTGGAAGTGGACCCATAAGAAAACTTCGTATAAAGTGAAAACCCCTCTTACCATTGGGGTTGACGTTGTGTCTAGTTACAAAGTCATCGCAGATGCAGTTGGTGTTGAAGGAATCTTTAAAACAGGTGAGATTTTTATACTTAGAACTTCATTAATTCTAATAAATTACATGAAATTATTAAATGATATTGCTTATTCTTTGCTTGAATTGTATAGGTAAACATTTAAAAAATTTTAAAAGCATATTCATAATGCATTACAGTTCATCTAATGAAATTATTTAAAATGAAATTATTTAAAATTATGATTTTATGAATGAAATTTGGAGTTTTGTGAACTATTGTCGAAAAGAATTTTCAGAAGGATTTCCTAATCAAATTAAAAGATACAGGTTCTTACGCGTATACAAAGAGTCATTTCATTTTGAAAATGCATGACAGAAGCAGCTCGTTTAACTGTCTATAATATATGATTTGAAATTAAGTCTTAAGAAAGTTTTTTTTTCATTAAGTTCATTTTCTTAAAATTATAATTAGGTCGATTCAAGCAACACGATTGTGCTAGTATTCTTAGGAGTTACCCTGAGTTGAAAGGTCATGACGCAGTATACACTATTTACCCCGACGGCAAGACAAAGAAGCAAGTATTCTGTGACATGACGACAGAAGGAGGTGGTTGGACGGTATTGTTATTAATTACAAAAAAATCGATTTCTCTGTTATGATATAAGCTTCAAAAACCAATTCTTATCTTCCATGTGCAACAAGTCATTTCATCTGTATTTCTATCTTGTTTTAGAGTTTCAATATGAGATTTTTTTCCATATAAAACCATCTTTCCTGGCCAAGAGTCTCCGATGCGATTAGATTTCGGATTGTTCTCTTTAGAGAAGTGGACAGGGTTTCGCATACATCCATGTAGGCAAAAGCCTGTTCACTATTCTAAACAGAATAATTTGGGATCGGCAAAGCTTAGCTAACAAAGATGTTAAAAGCTTGCAAAATGTTATTGATATTCGATGTTATTTAAAAAGTGAACAGTATTACTTATCAGATTTCTGTCGTTATTTCTGAAAAAAAAGTTTTCATCATGGCACTAAATTAAGTAAGAAAACAGAAGCATTACCTAGAAAGCAATGGATGAAATATTCTGGACATAACACGATGATTTATGCAAATGTCATATAATTTATACTATACAAAAGTAAAATCGTTTCTATGAAAATTTATTGTTTGCAATCAAAAGGTTATTCAGCGACGATTACATACGGGAACAACCGATTTTTACCGAACATGGAAAGACTATAAGACAGGCTTTGGGCAAGCAGGATTGGATTATTGGTTAGGTAAGTTAAAGCGTAAGATACATGGTCAGTATACAACTATCACAAATATTAATGAAAACCAACAAACAAAGCGGTTCAAGATATTGGTTGTCAATAGTTAGTAATGCGTAAAATATTTAAATAAAATTATATTTGTAAAAAACATATAAATGTCTTGATATACTTTAACTTATTATGTGTAAGAGGAAATACGCTTGTCTATCAATATACAATATTTATATCTTAAAGGCAACGATGCAATTCACACCCTGACCTCCAGTCCGGCGCAAGAACTGCGGGTGGACCTTGAGCAGTTTTCTGGCGCCAAAGCTTATGCCAGATACTCAAAGTTTGCCATTGACAATGATAAAAACAAGTTTAAATTGTCAATCAGTGGATACAGTGGAACAGCAGGTACAGTATCAGTATTTTGACATACAAACTATGTTTCCTTGTCAACTTTTTAACGATATTGTTTTCTTTTTAAATGTTTTGTTGACTGCATCCCCTTCTTTATTCCCTCTCTTGTCTAAAAATGTTCCCCTTCTCTGTATCATTATGGTGGAAAGTAATGGACATTTCATATTATCAACCTAATACTCAGTATGAATGAATATATTTTACATAATCTCATATTGGACTTTTGCGAAGACACTGACTTTCACAGTTGACGGATTACTTTGACATTTAAACCTGCGTCATGTATGGAGGTACAGAATTGAAAATGGATAGGAAAACATCCACTGAGGTGAAGGTTATTGTATTCGGGGCTTTGAAATAATTTATCAAAAAAATGTAATTGGTGGTAGAATAAAATTTATTTAGATACTTTATTCACGAGAATTAATATATCCTTTTATTTTCAATAACTTAAGAAATGAAATGAAGAAAAAGCCACATTTCGGTAGAAAAAAATTGGCAGGAGTTAGTCAAGACTGGAATGGAGGGTGTTGAGGGTAGGAAGGTTGACGTTTCCCTCGTAGACAACGTAATATGATTTTTGAAATAACCCGTTAAATCGTTTTTATTAATATTGAAATAAATATTTTTTCCACACAAGAGCTCCCGTATATTTTCCTGGTGTAAAAGTAAGCCGTCAACTATAAAAGTCAGTGTCTTCGCAAAAGTCCAATATAATGTAAATGTATACATTTTACATAATATCACGTACTAGTTTTAAAAATTTCCTTAATTATTTATTTGCCAAGGTGATGGACTTAAACCTCATAATGGACACGTCTTTGCTACAAAAGATAAACCTGATGGTTCAAAATGTGCCATCGCATATAAAGGTGCTTGGTGGTATGCAGGCTGCTATCAATCGAATCTCAACGGACCTTACCACAAATCAGCTTCCAACACATACCAAGCAATTGTGTGGATTCCGTGGAAAGACAAGACGGCATTGAAATCAACACGGATGATGATTCGTCCAAAAAAATAAACACAATGCACAGATACATTCTTTTGAAATAAAGCTCTTGAAAAGTTATTGTTTTAAAATCTATTACAAAATTAATGATTTTAATAAAATCAACTTTCACAAAAATATCTAGATTACACAACCAGTATTCACTGGTCTCAGCTGACAAAGTTGTCTTTATTTGTAAACCTCATTGTTTTAGAAGAATTGGGATTTAATTCTACAGGTGGAAATCCAACTTCCTCTTTAAGGATGAAATGAAATTCTTCAAATCATATTCTGTTTTGAATATTTTTAATATTCCCAACAATCAAAAAGAATTTAAATTACCTTAGCTACATTGGATTCTAAAACTCTAAAAATGAAAAAAATCCTCTCAAAAAGATGCTTATGGAGTTTCATTAAATGTTCCCCATTCTTTAAAATAGTCCTAATTAAAATATCAATTAAAGTGAGGAAGGAACTTCAGGAGTACTGTGCAATAAATTCGAGTACATGTAGTGGTATAAATCAGATGATGTTCGAACCTGAGCTTTTGAGCTTTTTATAAATTTACAATAATTGTGTAGAAGATAAGGGAAGTAACACTAACAATAAAGGTACCGGTGTGTCAGCTACTTGTTTTATTTATATATTTTTAGCCTAATCATAAAAAATAAGAAATAATTATTTATTTATTACATAATCAATATGAAAAACATGTAACAGGTTTTTTTTTTTTATAAATCCTATGGTGAATAATTATTAAGGTTTTCTTTATCATGGGTTCCCTTTTGCAAATGCATTGAAAATTTTAGATACATTGATTGCTTTAAAAAAGGTTAATTTAATTTAATCAATATTTTATTATGTATAAACATATATGTAACAGGATTGGACAGCAGGCACTGCCTATATAAGTCCTCAATAAAAAGGTGGGTTAAATTACATGTACACAGAATATAAACTGTTTTGGATCAAACCTACTCAAGACTTGACGATAGCAAGGAGCCCTGCTGATACCCTTAACTGTAAACAAAACTAGAGGAACTGTGAGCAATGAGCTCACTAAATGAAACCCCCTGCCTCCTATATGGTTATAATGCCAAAAGCCATGCTTTGCTTTGGGAGATCCAAAATAAGTATCAGAACAAAAATAAAATAGGAGGTGCACAATGGCATGATGTAAAAAAGAATCTTTGAAAGCATCATTAAATTTTAATGAGTCGTATAGGAGGATAAGATATGGGTTCATTATTTACACACTGAATTGTCGACATTTTTTTTCGTTATTTCCTGATCAAGACAAGGAGCACACAGCGGGTGTGACTGGTCGACAGGGGATGCTCACTCCTCCATGGTATCTGATGTTTTGGAGCTCTGTGTTTGCTCTTTTCCTACTTTGTATAGTTTAATGGACTCTTGAACTTGTTCAATGTTCGTTATCCCCATATATTTCATACATCTTGAATATCCATTTGACTAATCTAGGCAAATGGAAAACTATTAGGGTAAATCATTGTTTGGGGAGCCGGAAAGAACTTTTTATAAATATTACACTGGAACTGTATGAACAGTTTCTAAAACGAGGTAAATTATTGACAAGCAAGATGATGAAACATGAATATCAGCAGTCTCGTCAAAAGTCATATTTTCGTAAGTTCTATGGTCAATACAATGACCTTGTTAGCAAATACAATTTATGATTGAGTCAAATGCTGACTGACGTTTTTCATACTAATTGTTAGTCCATTATTTATACACTGAATTGACGACGGATTTTTCCCGTTATTTCCCGATTATGACAAGGAGTACACGGTGTGACAGGTCAGCAGGGGATGCTCACTCTTCCATGGCATCTGATCCCACCTCTGATGTCTCGGAGGTCCATGCTTTCTCTGCTTCTATTTTGTATTGTTTTATGGACTTTGATATTGAATACTGTTCGTTATATCCATATCCTTGTTCATATCATCTCATATAACGGTATTTTTAAAAATTATTATTATTTTGTTTAAGCGGAAAAATTTCTTATACTAAATATATCTTTGATCTTATTTCCCATTATACTATGAAACAGATTGAAATATATATTATGTTGTTCCAGTGTAAAAGATGTACAAGCACCTGCAAGATTGTAAAACAAGATATACAATGCAAAAAAATATAGGTGACGGACAAAGGTCACAAAAAATACCTGAATTATTAAATATTTATTTAATGTACACGTATACAGATAACGTTTTATGATAAATATTTTTAATGAGCAAGATTTCGTTCAACTGACACTAACACAGAATATGTGTATTATCCAATTACTGAACTTGCTGTTCCTGAAGGAAAAAACATAACATGGTTAAATAACTTATTCAGATTAAAGTTGCAATCTTAAAACATGATTAAAAAAATCGACATTTATAAGAGAATTCCAACTTACCTTGTGTATTATTGTGTGCTAAAAAATATACAAAATAAAAAGAATGATTGCATAATTTTTTCTTGTCTTTTACGTAACTTAACCTACTGCTGACGAAATGTGGGTTGCAAAAGGGAGACGCATTGCTTGTACAAGGGCTGCCCCAAAAAGTTCAACGTGAACTGATGACCAAAATTATGGAGGTTAAGACTGTTTTTGAAGTTAGAAGTGTGGTAATTGTAGTACTCACGAGAACAAAATCCACAATACGCCGGACAATTCAGTCTCATTACGTCTTGAAGATGAGGATCCGAACAGTATGCTTTCGCAACTATACTACAATTACTCGTTTTAGAAACTGTTTTTTTCATATGGAGGTTAAGACTGTTTTTGAAGTTAGAAGTGTGGTAATTGTAGTACTCACGAGAACAAAATCCACAATACGCCGGACAATTCAGTCTCATTACGTCTTGAAGATGAGGATCCGAACAGTATGCTTTCGCAACTATACTACAATTACCCGTTTTAGAAACTGTTTTTTTCATACTAATTGTTAGTCCATTATTTATACACTGAATTGACGACGGATTTTTCCCGTTATTTCCCGATTATGACAAGGAGTACACGGTGTGACAGGTCAGCAGGGGATGCTCACTCTTCCATGGCATCTGATCCCACCTCTGATGTCTCGGAGGTCCATGCTTTCTCTGCTTCTATTTTGTATTGTTTTATGGACTTTGATATTGAATACTGTTCGTTATATCCATATCCTTGTTCATATCATCTCATATAACGGTATTTTTAAAAATTATTATTATTTTGTTTAAGCGGAAAAATTTCTTATACTAAATATATCTTTGATCTTATTTCCCATTATACTATGAAACAGATTGAAATATACATCATGTTGTTCCAGGGTACAAGATGTACAAGCATCTGCAAGATGAGATTGTAAAACAAGATATACCATGCAAAAAAATTATATAGGTAACGGACAAAGGTCACACAATAATACACAATAATACATGCATTAAAATATTTATTTTAAATATTTATTTTATGTACACGTATACAGATAACGTTTTATGATAAATATTTTTAATAAGCAAGATTTCGTTCAACTGACATTGACACAGAATATGTGTATTATCCAATTACTGAACTTGCTGTTCCTGAAGGAAAAAACATAACATGGTTAAATAACTTATTCAGATTAAAGTTGCAATCTTAAAACATGATTAAAAAAATCGACATTTATAAGAGAATTCCAACTTACCTTGTGTATTATTGTGTGCTAAAAAATATACAAAATAAAAAGAATGATTGCATAATTTTTTCTTGTCTTTTACGTAACTTAACCTACTGCTGACGAAATGTGGGTTGCAAAAGGGAGACGCATTGCTTGTACAAGGGCTGCCCCAAAAAGTTCAACGTGAACTGATGACCAAAATTATGGAGGTTAAGACTGTTTTTGAAGTTAGAAGTGTGGTAATTGTAGTACTCACGAGAACAAAATCCACAATACGCCGGACAATTCAGTCTCATTACGTCTTGAAGATGAGGATCCGAACAGTATGCTTTCGCAACTATACTACAATTACCCGCCATGTCCACACAGTTCGGAAGATGTAGATCTTAAAAATAAGATCTTGAAAATGTTTGGTACTGTTTAAAAGTTTCTAAAAAGAGAGATTTAGGGAAAGCCTCTTTATATTTCTTTTACATGTTTGTGATATTGAAAAGATATGTATCATTGTAGCACAATTTTTACTTTATTTATATCTATATTTGATTACTATCTTAAAAAAAATTGGGGCATCACACTTTACGAGTGCCCTCATAGACATAAAATGTTTTATCTTCATTCAAACTGTTGAATTCTGAATAAATATGAATATAAATATAAAATCTCATTATTTTTCTACAGAAATACAGTAAGTAAATTTGTTTTTACTGACAAGGACAGACCCCACAGTAATGTAAACAGTAGTGCCTAGTAAAGGAATTCCAGACATATCCCTCACATCCAAGCTTTCCACAGTCCGCCATTTTGTCCACACAAAGACAATCTTTTAAATAATCATTTAGTGACTTACGTAATTTGAAAGAATGAAATTATATTCAAATGAAAACAATTAATGTCATGAAAGCATTTAATGTCTTTTATTCTATATCAAAATCATTCAGAATTAAGAAATCGCGAATATATGTTTCATTTAGGATTTAGGGGAATATTTACACATACTGCCATATTCCAAGTTCAATGACCCTTTTTGACGCATTATTTCAATGAAATATGAAACACATATATGAAATATTTGGAGATAACGAATAGTATTCAAATTCTATCTAGTCATTTAGGCAATACAAATTAAATTATTGAGTAGAGCAAACATGGACTCTAAAATATAAGAGATTGAACAGGTGCCATGGAGAAGTGAGCATCCCCTGCGTCCGGACCCACCTGCTGTGTGCTCCTTGTCCTGATCGGGAAATCGCATCAAAATAATGACAAGTAAATTTCTCAATCTTCTATTCGGAGTATAAGGTATCTTAAAGTTCTCGAGAATTCATCCATGGCATTTTTAAGGACTCAGAACTGTCTTTTCAAAAATCTTTATTAGAATAAAATAATGGAAAAAATTTACTTACCAACAGTGAAGACATATGCAGTCAATAATGCTAGAAACACATACATGATCTCTGGAAAACGAAATTTTTAACCAGTATTATCTCCCTCTTTAATCGTTGATATTCTTTAAGGTTAAAAGTTAGCTCTATAGAGGCACGGTCATTATCAAGATTTCTGTAGAACAAATATCGACGTTATCTGTACAGATGAATTAGGTGTATTCATTGGCATTAACCCTGCATAGTACAATAAAATATATTAAAGTTATAGATCTAATTAAACGGCAACAAAAATGTTACTTTTCAGAGACAATATCTAATGCTAGGAATTTTTTTCTATGAAAGTTATTTAACTTAATGTGTGATGGTTAACTGACAAATCAATAAAATCATGCAAGAAAGCTAAGAGTAGATAGCTTAATTAAAGAAGTCGATTATAGAATTCGAAGTTAGGTCAAATTCTCTTGTGAAAAAGTGTTCTTATAATATTATTTAACGTAAAATCCAGCTCTAGCATCTTAGAGGATTTCGTATTCCTTAAGCTATCCCGTAGTACTATTTTTCTGAAATATTTTTCTATTTTAAAGTTACTTTATCAAAAGTAAGCAAATAAACTAATTGACGCATATCGCGTAGATTGAATAGTTTAGATATTGTTTTATGATTAGAATATTAGACATAAAATATTAGACATATAAACGGTGAAGCTGACGAATCGTTATCAATCTCATAAATATTGCGAAGAATACAAATCGTGAACCGAACTCTTGAAAACAATGGAGAAGAAATCAGGTGCCAATGAAGAGAAAAATTCCCCTGTCGACCGGTCACGCCGCTGTAAGTCCTTTGTATTACTTACCCAAGAAAACTTAATTCGTTATCAAATTTGTATAAAACAATGGCCTAGCATGCGATAAGAAACATTTCAGTCAAAACACGACGTCAAGGTGGGCTGTATTTGCAAGCAAGGTCATAACGATCATAGAATTTGCAATATTGTTGAAAACCCCTACATCATCACTGTCTTAGACAGAAACCTACCTCGGTTAATGAATTATTCAAAATATGTTTTTGACAATTGAATCATTTGGGAGACCTAAACGCCACACGTAAGAGACTGTGGAATATTTTTACATGAAAAGATAAAATTATTCAACTTGCTGTATCCGCTGTTTTGTTGATATTTTTATTTTGCTCTAAACGATAAAATAAGATATAAAACAAATTAATATTACATATACAAGAAAATATAAAAGTCGATACTAGTTGGAAAATAAAAAAAGAACCAATAAAAACGAGCTCGTTATCATTTTTGGCTTCCCGGACAAAAATACGGCAAGTCATTTGAATATTCCGTGACCTTTCGCGTGACCCCAATCGTACAGTCCAGTGCTCATACCATTTTCGGCTAGGGATGAAAATATGGCTGATGCGGCCTTCGCCGGTAAACGAGGTAAAAAACGAATTTTAACAGACTCTGGACGAAAGAAAGAAATGCTGAAATCAACAAGTCCAGAATATATCTCGGAAGAGAATTTCAGCGCTGGAATAGTTTTAAAAAGCACTGAAACTTCCAACATGTCAAACTCTCGCTGAAGTAGCCAGAACCTTGCTTGAAAGGTAGGCCTAGATCAACATTTTTATTTGGTATATAAAAACTATCATCTGTAAGGAAATTATGTATTTCAGAATTGTTTACCAAAGTTCTAGTAATCATTATGGCACTTGTTATTTTTTTTTTATTTAGCAAACTTGAAACAAAAAAGCGAGCATTATTCCCACTGCTTTTAAGGCATTTATTGACAATTAACGTAATATTTATTGGCAATAAAATATGCAATAGTGAAGCAGAGTGCAGAAAGAGTGTCTTTTATTTTTAATTCACGAAGATAGATCGAGTTGATAAAAAAAGAATTGATTTAAAATGTTACTTGATATAACGTGGTTTTGTATTTCTTACGATTTCCCATAGCACTATTTTTCTTTTAAAAAAATTCTATTTTAATTATCTTTATCAACTACTCGTATTAAGATAAGCTAATAATTTAAATGGCGCCTATAGTTTTTATGAAATAAATTATAGATATTCAATTAGAATATTGATATGTAGCATAAAATATTAGACATATAAACAGTGAAGCTGACAAACTGTTATCTATCTCGTGAAGAAAACTATTCGTGAACAGGACAAAACAAGAGCTCTTGAAAACAATAGAGAATAATCTCAAATAGTTCATCCGCAGTCCAAATGGTGTTAAACAATAGCCTACCAAGCGCTATGAAGCATGTCAGTCAAAACACGACCCAACCGTAGTTTGTATTAGCAAGCAAAGCAAAGACCCATAGAATTGGTAAAATGTGTAGAATTTGTAAAGACTTTAAGCGGAGAAAGTTGAAATCCCTGCATCATCACATTCTTTGTAAGAAACCTGTCTCTATTTGAAAATGGATCAAACTCAATATATACAGTGTCTATATATTTTTAAATCGAATAAGTTGAGAGACATAAACATTATGTATAAGTCACTGGAATATTGGCATTCAGTCTACATTATAAAGTTTAGTTGTTAGTTTGCCATAAACGTAGTGGCAGAATCGGTGGCGTCCTTTATTTTTAGTTCACGGAGATAAAGTTGTCAAATGAATAAACACGATCGTTTTTCATTCTAAATTGAAAAACGTCATCAACATTTCGTAGTTTTCAATGTAATTCGTTAAATTGATAAAGTATAGTCTACATTCATGTATATATGACTATTAATTCAAACTCTGAGATCTTCAGATTAACGAACTTACAAAGTAGGCAATTAATATATCTCTCCAGGACGGCTAAAAAATCCTCTAAATTGAAGTAGTAAAAATTTTCCAGGATCTCAAAGTTCCACGAAACCATAATCAAAATATTTTATCAAACATAAGATTTTTGAAGCAAAAAAATACAAGCTTTGTAGAACTTTTCAATGATATTCTTTTCATTGCATGCTGAAGTTTCCAGCGATATTCGATTTCATTTTAATGTGATATTGATTTTGTACAAGTTTGAATATGTTTATATATATGGGACAGTTTTTTTTTTCTATTTTACTGAAAACAACAGAAGCAATGACGTTGTTCTTTTTCTTGATATGCGGAATTTTTTTATCCTTGTCTGGTGCTAATATTCCCAAGGCTCACAATTTGATACAAGGTAAGTCAGATTGGTAATTGGAAATTTGATCAAACATTTAAGTATAAATAAGTATGCAACTTGATCACAAAAATACTATGCAAAGCTATCATTTATACCTTGCTTAAAAAAACCTTTAAATTAACAGAAACAATGAAACCAGTAAAATACCACGTTCAGAAATGTCATTTGTGTACAGATTCACCTCAAATAAAAACCTATGAAATCTTATCAAAGGAATTTTACAAAATATATTACCTTTCCGATTAAAAATATATACTTTATTAAAATATCCTACAAATTAATTTAATTTAACACAAACTCTATCAGTCATATAAAGCCTGTAAAATATTTTTACTGTAGGACATATGAAAGAGTCTTTGAAAAATCTGCCATGGAAATGGACACATAAGAAAACATCGTATAAAGTGAAATCCCCTCTTACCATTGAGGTGGACGTTGTATCTAGTTATAAAGTCAGTGCAGACGCAGTTGGTGTTGAAGGACTCTTTAAAACAGGTGAGGTTTTTATACTTCTTCATTATTTTTTTCCTTATGTTTTCTGGTTTTTAAAATAGTAACTTTCTTGAATAAATCCCTTTTCTGGTGAAATGATCAAATAACATTACTTATTCTTTGCTGAAATTCTATAGGAAAACATTAAAAAAAATTGTTTAAAGCATATTTAGAACACATTCGATTTCACCTAATAAATTATAAAAAATTATCATTAAATGAAGGCAAAAACGTATAATTCTAGGTTTTTCAAAACCATTTTATACTTAAAGATTGAGTCCGTGTTTAGAAATATTTGGAGTTTTGTGAACTATTGACTATATGTCAGAAGGAATGCCCTTTTAAATCATAATATACAGGGGGTCGTAACATAAAGCATACTAAGTGTTTGACTTAAGTACGGTCTTAAGTACGCGTTAAGCACATTTTTAGGACCTACATAAGTACTACTTAAGTATGTCTTATACCGTAACATAAAGCGAACTAATCAAGATCTTAGCTAAGTCATACTTATGTATTGAATTAAAATATTACACAGTGTAAAAGTTCATAATGTAGCGTTGGTTATTACATGTAAGTGTGATACTTACTCACAGACTGAATATTTTTTTCTTCTTTAATCACGCCTGGCTATTCTCACAATTGTCCTAAGGGACTTTTAGACTTTAAAAATTCCGTCACGTTCTTTTTCACTGGGGTTTGTTTTTCGTTTACGGAAGATAATGGCAACTGTATCCTGTGATTGATGCACATATTGTGCAAAATCGCTGTCGCAACTATCACCTGAAATTGGAGGGAACATTTAATATAGTATATCAAAACATATTATTGGCTTTAAAAATATACATTTGATATTTTCATAAAGTTATTTGTTTATACCTTGCATACTTTCGAAGGATGAAATTACAGAGGACCTCCAGTTTTATCAACACAGCGAAAACGGCCCTTCCACACACCAAAACGTCTTTCAATCGAGTTTCTAGTTTTCATATGACGAGCAAAATACTATAGTATTCCATGATTATAATTTTATGAATATCACATTCTTGTTTAAATTAAAAAGGGGCTGTACTAGGGTAATCGAACAAAAAGAGGTTGGGCGAAACCCCTTCCTCAAATAGGTTGGTAGTGTTATGCTCCATTTTTTTCAACTCATTTTTTTTCTTAAAACATTACCTAATTTAATACCATGATTAAGATATGATAAAATAAGAAAGTAAAATGTTAAGTTTGAAAATGTGTGTGTGTGTGTGTGTGTGTGTGTGTGTGTGTGTGTGTGTGTGTGTTGGGGGAAAGGGGCGGTCCTTAACTGCTTACTCAACATCATACAATTTTAAAATGTTAATAGATGCATGAATATTTTATATAGGTAAAATTAGCAAGGGATGGCTTTTGGGTGATTCAGCATACTAAGACCATGGATGGTGACCCCTATTTACAGCCTTCCACGCCCTCAGTGCATCGTTCTTTTTCCTCCCACTCTGTAGAAATATATAAGCAGACGCCATTCGTGTAATAATTGTGTATTCGTACTTAACTTCTAATATATATTGTGAATAGTGTTTAATTATGTCTTTATTCACAGACCTCTGAATACCTCTCTCAGTTTCTCTGTGATTTCCGGCCAAGTTAACCTGTCATTGATTTCCAATCATGATTAAAACCCCAGTCACATTTCCAAAAACGACCAACGGCCGACGGGTTTTGAAGCAAAAATGGGATTCTTCGGGTGACAGTCGTCAGTTCATCGGCCGTTGTCTTGGCCGATTTTGACCTATTTTTTTGTCGGCCGACCAATTTTGTGTCCATCGGTCCAAGTTATAATTTTTCATGCGTCGGTGGCCGATTTCTTCAAGTGCAGTTATCCGTCGACCAACCTTCGATCATCGACCGACCATCGGCTGTCAGTTTATTAAGTCGGTCGTCCGTCGTTGGACAATAAGGGTGTTGAAAATTTCGGCCAATGGTTAAAATCAAACTGTAGCTCAGAGCTCGATGATCGAGCGATGATTGGCCGACTTGTGAATATTTAACCTATTAAAGGATACATAACACAAACAAAATTTTGATGCATGGATTGATATAATTTTTTTGAATGGAGATAACATAAATAATTAATCTGTAAGATATAAAGAAATCTTAAGTATTCTTTGCTGCATAGATATGCACCTTTTGTCGTTTTTATGCAATTCCATACAAATTTTACACACATTTTCAACATTGAGTCACAATTTTATAAGATTCTGCCACTTTGTCTTGCAAACACTACTCACGTCACCTATCTGAATATAGATCTATGAAAAAATATTGCTGATTTCTAAAGAAAAAAGATTTTTTGTGTTATTTATCCAAGTCATCGGTGTCCCTAGGAAATAATGTGACTGCTCCGTGTCGCCCGATACTGTGTCGGCCGATCCTGTTCTTTCAGCCGACAGGACCAGAAAAATTTAGTCGCCCGACCATCGGCTTAAATGTGACCTAGGCATAATGTACACCGCGACACATGTATATCCTATAGGGTTATTTTGCTTCATGTATATGTTCAAATTGCTATATATACATGTATACAAGACATAATTGCTATTTATTAACTTGAAGAGGTATTAGAGTATCTTATTAAATAATAACAAATGAAATAATTACAATATTCATCGTTAAATTCTAACAGTTTTACGTATAATGTGTTCATGTTATGTATAACACGCACTTAAGTCACCTATGTTGATCGCCTAAGTTTTGCTACGATATGTATTCTTAGCATCCTTTATGATACGGACTTAAGACAAATAATGTACTTATGTCTTACTTAAGTATGGTCTTAGACTTAAGACTTTATGTTACGACCCCCAGGTGCTTACGCGTATCGCTGAGTTAAAGAGTCATTTAAATTTAAAATGCATGTTAGAGCTCGTTTAACAGTCTATAATATGATAAAACACAGTCTGTGTAATATAATTCACGCGTTTTTATATTTTGAAAGCCTTTTAGAAAGCAATTTTTAATTTAGCTCATCTTTTTGAAATTATTTTAGTTCACTTCAAGCAGCGCGATTGTGCTAGTATTCTTAAGAGTCACCCCGAGTTCAAGGGTCATGACGCAGTATACACTATTTACCCCGACGGCAAGACAAAGAAGCGAGTATTCTGTGACATGACGACAGAAGGAGGGGGTTGGACGGTATTGTTATCAATTTAATTACGAAAAATCGATTTCTCTGTTATTATTTAAAAACTAATTCTTATCTTCCATGTGCAATAGGTCATTCCGTCTGTATTTCTATCTTGTCTTATAATTTCAATATGAGGTTTTTTTTTCATATAAAACCATCTTTCCTAGCCAATGGTCTCCGATGCGAGGAGATTTCGGATTGTTCTCTTTAGAGAAAACTCTAAAGAGAATAATTTCGAATCGGTAAGCCTTGGCTAACAAAGACGTCAAAAGCTAGCAAAGTGATATGGATATTCGATGTCATTTTTGAAGTGAACAGTATTACTTATCAGATTTCTGTAGTTTACAAAAAAACTTTTACTAAGGCACTGGATTGAGTGATATTGACACAAAAACAGAAACATTACCTAGAAATCAATGGATGAAATATTCTGGACATAACATTATTATTTATTCAAATGCCATATCATTTATACTATACAAAAATAAAATTGTTTTTATGAAAATTTACTTGTCTGCAATCAAAAGGTTATTCAGAGACGAATACACACCGGAACAACCGATTTTTACCGAACATGGAAAGACTATAAGATCGGCTTTGGGCAAGCAGGATCGGATTATTGGTTAGGTAAGTAAAGCGTTAATTACATTGTCTGTACAACTATCACAAAAATTAAAGTAAATCAACAAACCAAGAGGTTAAGAGAAATGGTTGTCACTAATTAGTACTGCTCAAAATATTTAATAAAATTATATTTAAAAAAATACGTACAAATGTCTTCATATACTTTAACTTATCATGTGTAAGGTGAAATACGCCTGTCTATATCAAAATACGATTTGTATCTTCAGGCAACGATGCAATTCATACTCTGACCTCCAGTCCGGCGCAAGAACTGCAGGTAGACCTAGAGCAGTTTACCGGAGCTAAAGCTTATGCCAGATACTCAAAGTTTTCCATTGACAATGATATAAACAAATTTAAATTGTCAATCAGTGGATATAGCGGAACTGCAGGTACAGTATCAATAATCTGACATAAAAGCAATGTTTTAAGGATATTTTTTTCTTTTCAATTACATTGTTGAATGCATTCCCACTGTTGTCTAAAAAGGATCTCCTTCTCTGTATCGTTATAGTGGAAGGTAATGGACATTTCTTATTTTCAACATAATACTCAGTATGAATGAATACATTTTACATAATCGCACGTAATATAATACGAATTTATACAATTTACATTACATCATGTACTAGTAATTAAAATTATTTATTTGCCAAGGTGATGGACTTAAACCTCATAATGGACACGTCTTTGCTACAAAAGATAAACCCGATGGTTCAAAATGTGCCATCACGTATAAAAGTGCTTGGTGGTATAATAGCTGCTATCAATCGAATCTCAACGGACCTTACCACAAATCAGCTTCGAACACCTACAAAGCAATTGTGTGGATTCCGTGGAAAGACAAGACGGCATTGAAATCAACACGGATGATGATTCGTCCGAGAAAATAAACCCGGTGCACAAAATACATTCTTTGGAAACTTTCTAAAAAAGATTCAAGTGAAGTAAATAAAG